TGGTGCCTCTCAAATCATACCACATTGATAGTTAGATGCTAACTGTAGAACAGATAAGTCCAGCTTATATTTTAAGCAACAGAATGTTGGCTTGATGTGTTTGTGCATCTGTATAAAATGGTTTATGAGGGAAAATGGTCTCTCAAGTAATCCAGTGGAATCAAAGATACACTGCTACTCCTGCTTTGACTAACACCCACAACAGTTTCCTGACTCATCATTCAAACACCCTACATGAAGACTAGGAGTAGAGTATCCTGTGCTACGTACAAATAACGGCAGTACGTACAAAGCACAGAGTCGTCACAGAGGAGGGGGTGAATTCTGCTGTGGATTCAGAGGCAACCAGAGAAAACAACAGGGAAAATAGTATCAAAGCACAGATTGGGCAAGATAAATAAGACCTCTTATAAGAGATGGACAAAGAAGATGGTTTGAGTTTATGTGTTTAGTTTTTAATGGATATTAATAGGCATGAAGATTATTTCCCTTTTTTAACAGGTGTTGGGGTTGATGATATGTTCATAATGATTTCTGCATGGCAGAAGACTAGCCTCAGGGACAACATAAAACAGCGGCTGTCCAAAGTCTGTTCCAAAGTGGCTGTGTCGATTACAATCACCACCATCACCAACGTCCTGGCCTTCTATACAGGGATTATGACCTCTTTCAGGTCCGTAAAATACTTTTGCATCTATACAGGAACAACCCTGCTCTTCTGTTATTTCTATAACTTCATCTGTTTTGGAGCATTTATGGCTCTGGATGGTAAAAGAGAAGTAGTCTGTCTACGCTGGTTGAAAAAGCCAGAAACTCCTGACCAAAAATGTTCCTCATTGAAAAGGTCCTGCTGTCTCCCATGTGATTCTCTCCCGGATGAACAAGAAACTGATATCCATCCAATGAATTTGTTCTTTCGAGACTATTTTGGCCCTTTTCTCACAAGCACTGGGTCCAAATTTTTTGTAGTGCTTATATACATTTTGTACATGATAAGTAGTATCTATGGGTGTTTCCTAGTGCAGGAAGGTTTAGACCTTCGAAATTTGGCAAGTGACGATTCCTACATCACACCATATTTTAATGTAGAAGAAGAATATTTTTTGGATTATGGTCCCAGGGTTATGGTTATTGTTACTGAAACTCTTGACTACTGGGATAAAGATGCTAGGCAAAAACTGGAAATATGTCTGGCAGATTTGGAAAACAGTGACTATGTAGGTAAAAATCTCACAGAGTTTTGGTTACGAGAGTATGTGCAATATATGGAAAACAGCAAGCAAGATGTAAATGATAAGGACACTTTTATGAACGGTTTGCCCAATTTTTTAACACATTTTCCACTTTTTGTGTATGATATTAATATTTCATCATCACATGAAATCATTTCTTCCCGGGGCTTCATTCAGACCATGGGTGTTTCTTCTTCAACCGATAAGAAGATGATGTTATCCCAGTTACAAAGCAGAGCCGAAAAGTGCGAAATTCCCCTAATGGTGTATAACCATGCATTCATATATTTTGATCAGTATACCGCAGTATTAGAAAACACTTCGAAATGTCATTGTTGCATCAACCGCTATGTTCATTGTTTCCTTATTGTTAATTCCTCATCCACTGTGTTCCTTGTGGGTAACTTTTACTATTGCTTCTATGGTTGTGGGAGTAATGGGTTTCATGGCATTCTGGAATGTCAATCTTGATTCCATATCCACGATTAATCTTGTCATTTGCATAGGGTTTTCTTTCGATTTTTCTGCACACATTTCTTATGCATTTGTTTCCAGCTCTAAGCCCTCAGTAAACCAAAAAGCAATTGAGGCATTGTATCTGCTATGCTACCCAATGTTACAAAGTGCACTTTCAACAGTAATAGGGGTGTGTGTTTTATCTGTAGCTAAAGCATACATCTTCAGGACATTTTTTAAGATTATGTTTCTTGTTAAGGTATTTGGGGCTGCTCATGGACTAACATTTATTCCAGTATTCTTAACTTTTTTTTGAAGGTTTGTTTAAATATCTACTAACAAATCAAAGACCAATTGGCGCGAGCCAAGCTACTCATGCTGTT